TTTTGGTGGCGGGGCTGTGCTATTTGCTGATGGTCAATCTTAAGGCAGCCACGACCTAAACCCCCACCCAAACCCCCACCCAACCCTAAAACCCTGGCCCTGAAGCCCGAAAATCTCTTGCAGAATTGTTTCGCTTATTGGGGCGTCAGGAATGAAAATCTGTACTACTACTGTACTACTACTGTACTACTATTCTACTATACCTTGATTATTGGGGGGGGCTGCTAGGGTGAACCGCCGAATCGGGGATTGGACCCTAGCTCAAAAGAGGCCTCTCCAGTACTAAAGTTTGTATAAAAAATTAAGTTTTGGGTCGAATCTGGACCGACCCCCCTTTGGAAGGGTTTAGGGCTTAGGGTTCAGGGTTTGTTATAGGGTTTAGGAGTGTAGGATTCTTTAGGGTTTAGGGTTCGGGGTTTAGGGTTTCAGGCGCTGGCTTTATGCTTTGCTTATTGGGGGAATGTACTCACTGGCTTTATGCTTTGCTTATTGGTACTATTTCTGTACTATTACTGTATTACTACTGTACTACTGTACTGCTGTGGTACTACTACTGTACTACTAGTGTACTACTGTACTACTATTGTACTACTACTGTACGATTACTGTACTACTATTGTACTACTGTACTGTTATCGTACTACTACTGTACTACTATTGTACTACCACTGTACTACTGTTGTATTACTATTGTACTACTGCACTATTATTGTACTACTACTGTACTACTACTGTACTATTATTGTACTACGGTACTATAATCGTACTACTACTGTACTACTACTGTACTACTATTGTGCTACTATTGTACTACTGTACTATTATTGTACTACTACTGTACTACTATTGTACTACCACTGTACTACTGTTGTATTACTATTGTACTACTGCACTATTATTATACTACTACTGTACTACTACTGTACTACTATTCTACTATACCTTGATTATTGGGGGGGGCTGCTAGGGTGAACCGCCGAATCGGGGATTGGACCCTAGCTCAAAAGAGGCCTCTCCAGTACTAAAGTTTGTATAAAAAATTAAGTTTTGGGTCGAATCTGGACCGACCCCCCTTTGGAAGGGTTTAGGGCTTAGGGTTTAGGGTTTGTTATAGGGTCTAGGAGTTTAGGATTCGTTAGGGTTTAGGGTTCAGGGTTTAGGGTTTCAGGCGCTGGCCCAGACCTCCCCGACCCCCGACCGCGCAGTCGCGCAGAACCGCAGACCCTGCACCCAAGCCAGCCCCCAAACCCCGGCACCTCCCAATTCCCTGCCACTCAGACCGACCCCTGACCCCTGTCCGGGGCTACCGGTTCCATATTAAACAGAATTTTTCTTTTTGGTCGGGGGGGGGGGGGGTACCCCACTATTAAACCGACCGCCACATTAACCCTCATAGATCGAACCCTTTATAGAAGTCTTTCTTCATGGTAACCTTACAGGACCCTCTTTAAGGGGAATGGAAACACCACTACGGGCCTTCTCCACGCTGCCAAAGAGTTTCTCAACTTCCCGCAAAAGATTCTTGGACAGCCTGGACTCTAGGGTTTAGGGTTTTAGGGTTTAAGCCTCAAACCTTGAACTTTAACCCTCAAGCAGGGCCTATCGGCGCTCGGGGCTTTGAGCTTAGGGCCTTTGGGCTTAGAGTGAAGGGCAGTGTGGGGCTGAAGGATGTCGGCGTCGGGGATCATAGGCTGTGTACGTAGTGCTTATTGCCCAGCAGTTACACCGAAATCTTCAAAAAACAAAAGCGCTTGGAAACCCGAAGTTGAAGTTTACAAAGTTGTCTTGAGACATCGAATTAAGTGCTGGGTTCTGGCTTTACGCGGATTGGGGGTTCGCAAGATATTAGAAGCCGGCCGCGTTGCGTTTACACTCTTACGAGAATGCTGGAAACCCTCTCAAGCCCGACAAAACTCTGCAAATAATCTTATGAAACTTCAAGAACGGCATCGGGATGCAGCGTTAGCTTCGGAGCCCACCAGAGACCGCAAGCAAATTCTGTAGGGAGGAACCTGAGTCCCAAGTCCTTGTAACCCCTTTTTATCATAGGGTGTGATCAGGTTGTTATAGGCTTTACACAGGTCTCCTTAGCACCCCTAGCCACAGGAACCGTTAAACACCCTGAAACCCTCAAAGGAACCCGCAAAAAGACTCCAGAACTCTCATGTCTGGGGATCCGGCGGCGGCGTGGGCAGTCCGGGCGGGCTTGAAGCCTCGGAGGCTGCCGGTTTCGGGCTTGGGGCATAGGAGTCCGGGTTTGGAGTTTCAGGTTTTTGAAACATTGGGGGTTATGTGTTTGGGAAGCCTCGTGATTTCCTGATTTTGAGTTGGTGCTTCGAGGGTTTTACCTGGTAACCGAGGTTTCCAGGGTGTGAAACTTTCGGCTTTGGGGTTAGAAGCCCGACCCTGAGCCCAAAACCTCCATCATTCAGGAAGTTGCAGAATGAGGGGATGAGGTCTGAGGGTCCAAAGAACATGGGGCACTGCCGTTTGACCTTCCGGGCTCAGGATTCAGAGTGTTGTCGGTGCTCAGGCTTCGGAGTTAGGGTGAGGGTTGGAGGTTCGGGGGTTAATTTGGTTTAGGATTTAGGGCTTGGTGGTCTTGTCATGGCTATGCCTTAGCAAAAACTGTCTGATACTGCTGTAGTTTGCTTCCCATGTCCAGAGACCGGATGACTTCCCAAGGCACATGTAAACAAGTAGCGTGGTTGACTAGGTGGGGCGTTTAAAGCCTTTGAAAAATATTAGTAAATAAGATCCTCTTGCCCAATAAGGGGAAATCTAAAATGTCCCAAAGCCCTACCTGGTTGAACATGAAGGCTTCGGATAAGGCCTGAGGGTTTAGTGTCTTCAGGGTCTAGGGTTTAGCCCTGCGCGACAGTATCCAACTTGTAAAGCCCTCCTGTCTAGTGTTCCCCTCGATTCCTAGCCATCCCACATATCAAGTTCGAGTCTTAACCCCAGTCATCATCACAGAGGCAATCAACCCTTCTCGCATCAAAGACATCCATTGAAACCCGAATCCTAAACCCTAAATCTCTCGACCCCAGTGACAGCATGGGGCTGGCAGGGGACCTATATGTTGCCGGAGCCTTTGCTCGGATCGGCTTTGAAATTCTAGGTACGTCAGCCTATGAGGCTGGGTGTATGTCAGGTATTGAGTAGTGCGCAAAGGGGGCGGTGCCCTTTTGGGATTCTTGGTGGAGTTGTATCTTGGTTGTCATGACGGGGTCGGGTGCTAAAGCAAAACCACGACAAAGAAAGCCTTCGAGCCCCTGTAAACAAAACATGAAAACCCATAAAGACCCTTGCACAGACTTAGGGCAGATGTATACCCTGAACCCGAAACCTTAAAATACTGAAGGCAAGTTTGCAGCTTGACGCTTCTAACCCGACAGGCCTCTTGCAGGAGCCAATCAGCAGTCGCAGCCTGAGCTGTGCCTCGCCTCGGAAATTGGCCGGTACAGTTGGGTAGTTTTCTAAATTTAGGGTCCCGTTTGGGGTCCTTTTTGTAAGGGTGCGGCACTATTTTGGGGACCCTGACTAGGGACCCTACTTTCGAGACAAACCCAGATGTCTATATAATACCTGCTTCATTTCACGGTTTCACTGGGGTTTGCAAGGACTTCCTGAAGCGTGCGTTCTGTATTGCTGCTACAGAGGATTCACATGGTGTAAACAAGTTGAGGGCTTGCGGGCTGCAGAATCTACGAGATAGCAAACCACGTGTTTTGGGTCTGAGGGTCAAGAAACTACAAACATGACTTGTCGGAGATTTGTAGGTCGTACTAGAGTTGTGGGTTTGAGGTTTAGCGGCAGCATTTGAACCCGCCATAGTGCCCGTAACAACCCCGAACCCTAATTAGTCCAGCGTGCTTTTCTCTCGGAAGCTCTCGCGGCGTGTATGGAGGTCTTTGGCAGCGACAACACCATTGCCATCGCAGTGTTGCAGGAGCCGCCCCGAAAGGTCTCGGGTTTCGGATGCTTGGAGGCTTGTACACACACGCACACAACTACACCTGTAGACCCTATATCAGCAGACCTCGCTGCGCAGCCCTTCTTTGTGCCAATCACCCGCCACAGAGCCTAAATCCACTTTACACCTCAACACCTAACACCACCTGCTACCCCCTGATCTCACCCTAAACTCCAAACCCGTGTGCTTTTTCATGCCTGAGCTCTCTCGGGTGTATAGTGTATAACCCAAAGAACGCCTATGTACTCGTTGTTCGATGCAGACTGTCCCTCATGGCCCTCATTCAGGACCAAAGAACCTCAAGTTTGAAGCACGCCCATGTAGAATCCTTTACTTGCTGCCCTGCACGAATGCGAGGATCTTGATGAGGAAGAGTCTATCCGCAAGCCCTAGGCCTTGGCCCTAAGCCCTAAGACCTACACCCTAAAACCGTAAGCCTTTGCCCTAAACCCGAACTAAGTTGAGGCCCGGCTCTGCTCGGGGGTCTCCGTGCATGGCGGAAAAATCTTGCATCCAAAGACGGCCGGGAGATGCCGAGATGAGGGGTTTCGGCCATACTATGCCCCAAAACCCTGTTGTAGGGATTCAGGCCCTCTTCTAAGCCCTGAGAGTGTCCCTGATAGTAGTCACGGTGGCAACCCTCTAACTTAATAATGGCTTAACAAACCCCTTTTCAGGACTCCTTCTAGATTCTGGCTGTTTTTGGCTTGCCGGCAGTCTCCAGGCTGTGTGAAACTTAGCAAAGCAACGAAGCGGCACATGCCGGGGGTTGAAAGCTTTTGAGGTCTGGGCTGGGGCTTGATGTGGAACGGCTTGGGGTTCTGGGGCTTGAAGATATGTTCAGTTGGGGCGTGGGTTTCGAGTTGAACGCTTTGGGAGGCAAGGTCCTTGCACGGGGATTTCATTCGGAGAATGCAGCGTGTGGTATCGATGCTCTTCACCAACCCTTATCGAAGCCCTGTAGAACCCTGCAAAGGCCTACAGAACGTGAAGACAGAGAAGCTGTACAGCTGACGGAAGCGGTTCAGTGGCTGTTAAACATCAAGAAGATGAAGGCAAAGGTGCCGAAGATGATTGTCAAGTAGGCATACCTCGCTGTTCGGATGTTTCGGGTAGCATCTACAGAAGCAGTTGCAAAAGCCAGGAGGACAACAACACAGAAGACAGAAACTGTAATGGCAGGGCAAACAGGATCTTCGGTGACCGCGAAGAACCCCATGCCAAGTATACCTTTGACCTTTTGCAAGAAGAAGCTGAGCTAGCCCTAGACGCCAGGCATGAAGCCTATAATGCAGAAAACATCCCAAGCAAATGACTTCTCATTGGTAATGTTGCTGTGTGTCGCGATACCAGTGATCATTCTAACCCTGGTTATAGCTGAATTACATACTGACCTCGCAACAACATTTCTGTGTCTGATAACGATACCATGATCTGTCAAGTGGCGCATAAGCAGAAATATCTATATGCACGTTATGCTGATCGAGGCTTCAGCCAAACCGCCAATTGGAGACCTCGAAGTTCCTTCACGCGCTACGGCAATAGTCATTCGTATGCATGCGGGGTGAGATTCTCGATAGGATTAGGACCCCATCTGCAAGTTTTGCGTAGCGCATCTTCATGCTGTATCTAAAAAGCAAACCCATCAACAGACGAGGACTTCTGGAGACACCTAATATAAACAAAAGCAGAACCAGAACTATGTGAATAACACTCATATACCCAAGACCCTGAAACTTCAAGGCCCGAAACTCAGCCTTAACTCCCCGAGACCCCCATCTTGGGACTTAGGACTAAAGGTTATAAGCACCATAATTGGGATTATAGGTAAATATATGACTACAGTAATGATGGTTACCTTACTTATATATCACCCTAAACCCAAAGCCAGGGTACCAAAGCGGATCTCGACCAAGCTCCTGCAGTGGCTCCTTGACGAGCCTGGGCTGATAATATGCACTCCTTTTTGAATTTTTGGCTTGGGCTTTCGATTTTAGGGTTTAGGACTTCGATCTTAGCGTTTAGGGGCAGCCAGGGTTGCGTGGCTGTGGGGTTTAGGATTCAGTTGAAAGTGCCAGGCCTCGATAAATACAGGCCTTAAAACCTAGACGATGGTTTGGCTTTGAGTATTTAGGGACTACAGAGGGCTACTCTTACTAATTTACAAAGCCCAAACAGCCCTCTGCAAGGTGGCCAGGAGACTTCTTCACGGCCTTCACGAACTCGTTGCTGGTGTCCTGGTGAACCAGCACCCCCAAACCCCAAACCCTGAACCTTCATCCCCGCTCCAAACCCAAAACGCTGTACCAGCAGGTTTCAGTTTAGAGATTTGGGTTTAGGGCCTGGTTTACGGTTCAGGTTTGGGATTTAGAGTCCAGGCTTTACGGCCTCGTGGATGATTGAACAGCTCCAAGATCCAACGCAAGCTTGGCACGTGGCCGCTTCGTCTACTATCGTTGTCATCGCAAAACCCTACTCTTGTGAGAACTGCCGAATGCTTCAAAGCAGTATACTCATTCGTGGAAAGCCTACCAAAGGCAATGGCAACATGTACCGCTCATTCGTTCCAAACTGCTAGCCCCAAACCCTAAATCTAAATCCTACGCCTCAACAAGACCTAAACCCAAACTAAATCATAAACTTTGACCCTAGACTCCAAAACTCCAAAAACCCAAATCCCAAAAACCGAAACCCAAAAACCAAAAAACTTCTCATTGCCTGGCCCTCGACCCTAAACCCCAAGCCATTTCTCATTGCCCGGCCTGGACCTGACTTCTGGCCGTCATGGTGATCGGCTCGGCGATAGTCTTCCCGACCTTTGGCCGAGCGTGCTTGTGCCCAAGGGCTTTAAGGTTGTTTGTGTTCGGAAAAGTTTCGGGTTTAGGGTTTAGGGTTTAGGGTTTAGTAAAGGGTTCAAAATGGGTCAAGGTCGGATTCTAGAAGTGGAGTTGTGAAGGGCTTGAAAGGCTTCGCTTACAACTACTCTGAAACCTTCAATGTCAAGCTAAACCCTAGCCCACAGCCACCCTTACCCTTTGCAATCCTGTTTCTGCCCCACACAACACCCATAGATAGCAGAAATGCACCTCATACCCTCTAACCCCTTAGTTTGCTTTGGTGACTGATGAACCTGCCTTGGAAGCTCTTGTTCCTCGACACACAACCTTTCCCCATAATCCCAAGCCCCAAAATCTTAAGCCCTCAGTAAAGTCCATGAACCCAGCAAACTCACAACGGCCAAGAGGCCCAGTTGCCAGCAATGCCGCGGCTGAACACCCAGCCGTCCCCGTTGGCCAGTCGCAGAAAACCTTGTTTCGTTCTCTATAATTTATGTAGAGGGGTTGCACTTCCCTTGGCATCCTAAACCCTAAACCCAATGCCCTAAACTAAATCAAAACGCCTAGAGCCCTGCACTGCTTCGCCCGTAAACCGTGTAATCCTAAGCCCCTGACCCTCTGCACCCCTGATCATCATGAAGCCTAAACCCGAAATCCTATACCCTAATCATTTATTCATCACAAACGCGAGAGCATGAACCCTAAGACCTTGAGCACTGCTCTCCACACCCAGCTGCTCTGGCCGTCAGAGTCGATGATGTCAGTGACCATGAACCTAAGTCTTTAAAGGCTCTAGTAGTTACCAGTACCTACCTATAGCTTTCATTGTAATTCCGTTTTTGGTAATTAATCAGGTCTGAATTCCAGATCCTTTATACGGTAACTCCAAAAAGGAATTGTAATCGAGACTATAGATACATCCTGAAGGGCCCAGGGGTTTTCAGGTCAGGTTTTGGGCGGTCTAGCGTTCAGGGCTTCAGGCCTGTGGAACCTCAGGGCTTTGGAGCTTATAGTCACTTATAGTTTATAGCTTCAGGGCTGCAGGACGCTTTATAGAGCTTAGTCATTAAGGGTTGAGGGTTTACGGTTCAAGGGCTTGGTGGATTTGGTGGTTCCGGGGGCTAGTGTATCGGGGTCGAGTTCTGTGGGCTAGTGTATCGGGGTCGAGTTCTGTGACATTAGCGTATGAGGGCTTGCGGCTTGCCGTGGATACTTCACTTACAGGTCTTTGGAAAGAAGGATCCTACTACCCAGGGTCAAAAGTCTAACTCAAACTGATTCGGGTCAAGTGGCTTGTAAGCCTGACCATTCCGGCTGCATTGCCTCCCTAACCAGTTCTCTTTAATTAACCTCAATGAATGAATGCTGGAACTCCATTATGCACCAGAGTGTGTGGAGAACGAAACCTTCCAAACCCTTTCAGGCCCCTGTACAACAGCGGTAATGAAAGGATAAACATAGCATGGTAAATAATCTCGCAAACCACTGGCTAAGATCCTAGACCCTATAAACTCCAAGCCCCGAAAAAGCTAAACCATTCCGACCAACGAAACTGCTGGCCTTCTGCGATGAACCCTAGTGCAGCCTATCATCAAAACCTAACCCTCATAAATCATTTTGAAGCCCTCCTCCAAAGCTCGAATTATCCTAAACCCTAAACCCTAAAGCCCTAAAGACCCTCAGGGCCGAGGCACTGCTGGCCTTCTGCGATGAACTGACCACTCCGTAGACTTTTGATCTCCGGGGACACACGGATGTTGATCCTCACGGGGGTTCAGGGTTTGTTTGGGGCTCTTTCGTAAGGGCGTTTGCAAGGGTTATGTGAGCAGTTTGGGAGGGTTTGGGGATTCCTTTTTCGGGTGTTTAGAAGGGTGTTCTTTTAGCGGTTTGGAATTAGGGCTTTGTAGGTTTCCATCAGTTTTTGTAAGTCATTGTAAGTCTTGTTAACTTCCTGAGGAGCATTCAACCTTCGGTACGACAGCTTCCAAACCCCACCTTCGGCCTGAAACCGAAAGCCTTAAACCCTTAAACTCCTCTCCCCGGGATCTTCTCGAACTCTCGCTGGCGCTGCTACAACCTTGTAGAGCCCTGCAGAAACCCATAACCTACAGTGCCATGTCCGTAAAGGATCCCTAGTAAGGACCTGCATAGTACCTCAAAGGCCTTATAAGCCCTGACTGAAGACCGCCCAAGACGTGAAACCCCCAAACCCTTAAAGGAAGCCTTCTAAACAGGTGGTTTACTTTTGCACGCAACCTTAGAGAAGCCGAATCAACCACCGGAGCCCTAAACGTTATAGACCCTTACTATAGACAGAAACCTATGACGACCCCTACACGTCAGCCACCCGACAGACCCTTATGCAGAAGCCTGTAAAGCTCGATGTCTGCCGAGCTACTTGGTCAAAGCGCGATATGGTTTCGCCTGGACTGGGTTCGATGTTGGCGCCGCTCGCAAGGCAGTGACCTGGCTGACGAATAATTGGGGGTTTTGCGGGGATCCTTTAAAGGGTTCCTCTCAAGGTTCTTTAGGGGAAGCAACTGGGGCTCTGTAACGGTTCACAAGGCCGATTTGCCGCCGGTTTTGCTCGGCCTGCTAAGGTGTTGTTTTAGAGTTTGCACTCAGTGCTTTGACTGCGTTGAGCGTGCAGAGTTCAGGCTTTGGGGTTTTGGGCCCTAGACCCCAAACCGTACAGGCTTGGGGCTTCTAGTTGGGGAGCGGAAAAGCCAAGAAGGGTTTTGACTAAGCAGTACCTGTTTACCTCTTTAGTACCTACAGAACTGCGCTGGGCGACAGTAATATCTATCTCAATGAATCAAAGCCCGAACTTAATTACAGCTGCGACCTGCGCGAGGTAATTGGTTTGGGATGTAGGGCTGTTGGTTTCCGAGTCACGATACCCGGTTTACTTCTCCCCTGTCCTGGGACCCCAACTCTAAACCCTAATGGTCTAGCAATAAAGGGTCACTACTTGGGACTACTATCCCTAGTTATACCGACCCTACACTCGTCAAACCTAAACCCTAAACCCCGAACACCTAGAGCCCAACACCCCACACCCCAAAAGCGCAACACCCAAATCACTAAAATCAAACCCGAATACCCTGTTAGACCCTAAACACGCTGACGCCCTGTAAACCAAAACCTGAAACCCTCAAATCCAAATGCAAAGACAGGGAGGAGATCAGGCCTGAGGACGCTGTGAGGATCGCAAGTCCTGGCGTCCCAGCGGGGCTCCTCCAGAGTTATAGGGTTTCGGGTTTAGGGTTTCAGGGGATTGGGACTTTTGAGGGCTTTGGGGTCCATGGCATACACTTAAAAGCCCCAACACAAAAAACATACATGCAAAAGGTCATGTCCCTACATGGGGGATCGGCTTGAGTTAGGCTCTGTTACACTCTAGCCCCAAAACCGCTTCACTTGGAGGCTTCTCCAGTTCCCTCTCAGCGTCCTCATCGTACTTGTGATGTAATCTCTTGGGGCCATTCACAGGGAAACATGGTTTTGAGGCTTGCGCAGCTCCAGGAGGGTATGATGAGTTGCAAAGGGGTAGTGAAGAACCCTCAACAACACCTGAATAAAACTGTTCAAGACAACGTGACAATACCCTTGCAAGTAGATAGGTTTGAAACCATCTAAACCCTAAGCCCTAGTTGTCTATGTATGTCTATGTGCCTCCTTCGTCCCTACCTTGCGCCCCTCAAACCTGGACGCGAACAGGCATGCTTGAAACTTGTAGCATTTGTAAACCGAAAGCCTCTGCCATCCAAGTAAGAAATAATCAGAACAGGGATCCTGGTGTATTGTAGCAGAATCTAGAGGGGCTATAAAGTTATAATGCGATACTCCTACGACAAGTTCAGAAAAAATTAGCTCCCTGACCAGGCTTGTTCGCATATTGAGCTCATGCAGGACAGAATGGTATACTCTCATAGAACAATAATGCAAGCAACCACGCACAACCAAACATGGCATAACAGGCAACTTTATATACCAACAACGACCAGCGTGGTCACGAAAAGCTGATAAGCAGTCATGAGGAGAAGTGAAAGTTGTGGTCAGCCACAACAGCTAGACCCCATTTACAGGACCCCACCATCTGGCACCAGAGAGGTGCCAAAATGGACTCCTACAAAGCTGCACGCCCGATGCGCCAGCAGAAGCGCAGAGGCCAGGACCAGCGCCGAGCGCACTCTCCCAAGAAGCCGGTGCTGCAAAGCCATGGCGAAAGCTTTTGAAACCAGAAGAATTGAGAAGAACATGCAAGAAAGATGACGTTCACCACGAGGCTCTGACACCAACTTCCTTGGTAGGATCGAACTGACATGAAATGATGATGCATCTGCGAACACTCTGGGGCTTGAGCCCCGACAAGACAGCATTCGCGGACACATCTTGGGACCCTGTATCGTCATGCTTAGGGTTGAAGACGCCAGACCTCCGAATACAATCTAGTGTACCCTAATATACCGTTCTCCGCTATTAACAACGTTACTGAGGTTATAAAAGTGGTAGAGACCCAAGTTTAAAGCCTGTCATTGGTACTTCGGCCCTGGCCTTAGTAAGGGCGGTACACGAAGAAGCCACAAACCCAAGGCCTCAATTCCGAAAACTCAATCATGCCGTGACATGTGCTATGGCGGCCTACATCATAAAATATGCCAATATCCAACAAGAATACCTTAAAAAATAATAGCAACGCACAGGGATTCATTGTGTCTATAGTTGGCATGTGATCCCTACAGCTTACATAACATAAACCGACAAAATCTCATCATCCTACATAGCCGCGCCCCTGATAGAGCCGCAATCCGGAACAACCGTGAATCCTAAGTCCTAAACCTCAAGCCCTAACTGCAATGTAGGGGCCTTAACAAAGAGTTTAAAGGGAACCAGAAAGCCTTAAGAGGAAAACTAGTGGCAAAATATCCAGGCCCCTTTTTTTTGGCCCCACAAAATAGTAAGGACAGAAAACCAGAGTGTACCGGTGGGTGACTGGATCCGCAACCCGGCCCAACTCCGAAGCCTCTTAAGCCCGAACACCCTACACCCGTTAAACTCCTTGTAGCAATCCCTTCAAACCACGAGAAACCCATGATTATATAAACCCCTAGAGCCCACCTCAAACCCGAAATCCAACTCCTTGCCGAACTCCTCAAACCCTAAATCCTAATCCATAAACCTGGAAACCCTAAGAAAATTCCTAAAGCCCTTAAGCCGGAATCTGCTTGCGGACGAATGGCTGCAAAGGGCAGTTCTCGCTCTCAAGCCCCGCTTCGATACCTTTGAAGCTTTCGGGCGCTTTGTTGCGGCTTCTACCAGGGCTTCGGGCTTAGGGTTGAGGGATTTGAGGTTTCGGGTTTTAGGGTTCAGTGATTAGGGGTTCAGGGTATGCTTAGGGCCAGGGCTTTGGGCTGCTGGGGTTTCGGGTTATAGATGGTTATAGAGTACAAGGTTCTGTTTCTAAAGGGGCTGAGGGTTTAGGTTCTGCCTTCACCTACCAACACCCGCGTTTTTGCAGGGTCACTGTAACTTCTAGATTAGGCTTGATATTGCGACCCTACGAAAACGAAACAAAACACTACGGACTCTAACCGCCTCGGAGCCGGAAAGACCACTTCACCTCACACACTTTTCAGAAATTCCCCATACTTATACCACAAGGCCTCACAAGGCAATACGTGTCTATGGCGTCCCTTAAACTAAATTATAAACCGACGCCCAAACCAGCAAGCCGTAAACCAATCAACCCCTAAACCACCAGGCCTTCAAGCCACAACAGCTCCAAACCAGAACACCTAAACCGAGAACCCCAAACCAGAAACTCTAAACCCTTAAACCCCAAGGAAGAAGCCTTAAACCCCGCGAAACCCCAATTAAAAAACCCAAGCCAGAAATTGTAAACCCCTACAATCCCTACAACAACCCTACAATCCCTGCCCCCCCCCAAACTACAACCACTTAAAGACGCAAGTCGAAGCTGCTTTGCTGGAGCACCACGGGCCGCTCGGACGATATAGCCTGCTGCGCTGCTCGTAACGGCTACCTTCACCCCGAATAACCTACGTTGTTTAGGACTTACATAACCGTTTTAAGGACTTATATAAGGAAATCGTAAAGCAAGGAACCCCCAAAAAGGTAGGTTGTATTCAGGGTTCAGGTACGGCAAGGCCTAAGATCACTTTGGGGGGTCTAGGGTTTGGGATGCTTAATGGAGGAGCTTCGAGCTTTTGCCTTGTGTTCAGTGAATGATGGACCTGGGCGAAAACACAGGGCTCACAGGATCCGAAAATTGGGTAACTGGGAGTGTTTTCGGGGTACATGATGACTGGGAGCTGGTAACAATAAGGGTAAGAGCCCTGTGCCCTTGCAAAATTTTACGGGATCGTGGGCTGTTTTGACCAGTAGGGCTGTTACTTCCTCTTGCCCCCCAAAACAAACTGCTGAACCCCGAGCCTTCGTAGCCCCAGATCTCTGAATCGCATCCTGTATACACAGCCTATACAAGTTTCTACCCCAAGGGCCTGATCGAACCCTAACCCAAACTAATATTTCTAAACCTCACTGGCCCAATAGTACCAGATCCCCCCAGAGAGAAAAGGCCTCGACTGCTTCCTTTTGAAAACCGGAGTTCTGCCGGAAGCCACGATGCTCGCCTCGTGAGTGCTGTGCTAGTTGCTCTCATGTTTCTTGTGGGGGGTGCGTGCAGCAACGAGTTAAGAGTTCAGAGCCCAACGATGGGTTTTAGACTCAAGGCGAGGGTTTGGGTTCAGGTCAGGGTGCTATCGATGGTCCACCTGCTCAGGGCCCAACTTCTCCAAGCAAGGCCGCAAATGCATTTACGGGGTAGCCGAACGAGCCGAATCGGGTCTTGGGGATCGGCTCTAGAAAGATCTTCGAAATGATTTCTGTGGTGAAGCTTTTAGAATAAGGGTCCCAGAATACGGCTCTTCAAGACGGGTTCTAGACCTAGGGCTCCATGAGAAGGGTTCTGATTCTACGGCGGCTTTAGTGTATGGTGCCTTGCTGAGGCCGTGGCACATGCTCGGTCCGATAGCCTGGGAAGGAAGGGAAGCTGTGACGTTCGGGTGCGGAGGGCGTGTGCCGTGTGTACTTGGGCCTGATAAGATTCCTAGTGGTTTCTGGGGATTCTATACTTAAATGTGTTCACATATGTGTATATATAAGTGTATCTATATATATACACATATGTAAATATGCAAGTGTGTATATATATATATATATATATATATATATATGTAGATGTGTTAAGTTATGTATGTATACATATAAACATGTAAATATACAACTACTAACGAAGAAACCTATATGAGTATGTATATATATATATATACATGTATGCACATAGTTTTCTGTGCATATAACGCTCTTTAGACCCGGGCGTTGGCGGGTTTTGGGGGGCTGAGCATTGCTCCATGGCCGAGGCACGCCACTCTTTCGACCACTGGCAAACAATAACATCCAACTAACGCCACCAATACCACTGTCACTACACATCACTACAGGGCACTACAACCACAAATAAACCACACCAAGACCCAAGACAAACACGATAACAATCACGACGGCGAGACCAAGCATCAAGGTCCAGTCATGGAGACAACGGCGCTTGAAACGACATTGTCAATGAGAGTGAGAACATGCTCCGGGTTGTGAGAACAGCGGAGATGCGTAGCACGAACACCTTCGGGTAGACCTAACCCCTGTAATCAAGAACTAGAAAGAGGTTGCGTGACGCAGTGCTCAGTGCTCTTGCTGCTACTACTGGGGTTTTTAAGGGTGCCCTTCGGGTTCGAGACTCTGGGGGGGGGGTTTTGCCATCCGTCACTTCACGGGTTTAGGGCTTGGGTTTAGGGTGTGGGGTTTAAGGTGCAGGGTTTCGGGCTCGGGTTTGGGGTTTAAGGCGTAGTGCCTTTACGGTTCAGGGTCAACTCCATGCCTTTTGAGGAGCGCGGACCTTTTGAGGCAGTTGAGTGACTAGAGCCGCACAAACTTGGGAAACATGGGGTCAGGTTTAGGGGCTTCAAGGTGTAGGGGCACGGGCTTATCATGGGTAAGCGCTGGATTCGCGGCTCTCTGGCGTCTGGGATTAGGATGATGGGGATGGGCAATTAACGAACAGGAACAGGCAATATTATCATAACAATGTCACCCAACCCTAAGCTCATCTAAACCGAAAGCCTTAGCATATCGCGTTAACACCCGGGCCAGTAAGGGGATACTCTTGACATCCTAAACAGAATTCGCCGACTAATGCACGCAACTATACCCGGTTCCCATCATCCTTATGATTCGCTCAACATTAAGGGTCTAGGGTTTACGGTTTATATACTGGCTTAAACCTCAAACCAATTAAGCCCCTGAGCTTCAAACGAAGATCTAAATCCTCTAAATGCCCCCTGAAGCCCCATTGGAAGACAAACCACTATGGGTGCATGTGCCCACATAGTAGCTGTAAAGTATTCCCCAAAATCGCTTGTAACATTCGGGTAAACGGACCCTGCTACTCTAAACCCTTTCCAACCCCTTATAGAAACCTTACAGACCTCTTACGGCACCCTCCCTTACAGGAACCCTAAAAAAAGAACCCATAAAATTAAGGACATGGGCCCTTTACGGAACGGCCTGGCGGCCCGCTGCCAGGCTCTCCGGCTCCGCCGCATGTTCGATGAGAGCCTCGTCTCGGCCACTTAGGGTTCAGGGTTGAGGTTCAGGGGTTTTAAGGCTTCAGGCGATAAGGTTTAGAGGTTCAGGGTTTAGGGGGCTCAATGTTTGGGTCTAGAGTTCTGCTCAGTTGTATACGGGCATTAGACCGGTTCCACACTGATTTCACAAAGCGTTTAGGCTTTACGGGCATAGGTTTAGTTCAAGCTTCGATAAAGGTTTGTTTAGGCAGGGTTTTAGCAGGGTTCTTTCAAGGGCTATAGGCTTCAACAAGTTTTAGTGTAGGAGTAGGCTTGTGAACGTCAGGGATGGCGGGTTCAGGGTTGCATGAAAGTTTACAGAGTTGCATGGACATGCTTCACTTGCAGGTTTAGGGATTGAAAGGTGTGAAGGGCTATCAGGTTGATACGGGGCTAGGGCTTAAGGCTGCGGTCAAAGGTTCATGAAGCGGCTCATGAGGTGCTGTACTCTATATGAAAAATCTCATGGGATCTGTACAGCTGAAGCATGTTACGTAGTAACGAAGGTTTATATTGATCAATCATCAACGGTCTACAAACAAGCCCTATCAACCTAACCCCTCAATAAACCCTACGCCCTGAACCCCAAACTGAGCCCGAGCACTCAACGGAAGGGTCAGGTTTGGCTTTTCATCATCAAGAGCCCGCAAAAGCTGACAAAACTCAGGATTCGGGGCTTGGGTTTCAGGGGGTTTAAATAAGCTGAGGATGGCGTGGCTTTTGGGCTACGGATATAAGGTTGAGGGTCCGGGCAGGTTAGGAATTTGGGGTTCAACCTTCTGCCTGTAGTCTCCATTGTAGTTCCGGTTTTGGGTGACCTTACAGGATCTGGTTAAGCCAAAAAACAGAACTACAGGGAAAACTAGGAGGAGATCAGAGATTCGGATTTCAGGTCGAGGGCTCCGACGCTTGTGGATACCAGACGCGAGATTTCGGATTGCAAGGTTGGGAGTTTGGGTGTAAGGAAACTACAAGGGTTACCGTAGAGTTTACTGTTGGGGTTTCCTGCGTTGAAGCTGCGGGCTTAGAGTGTAAGGTTCAGCATTGTTGATGTAATGTTGCTGGCTCAAGGCTTACGGCTCAAAGGCTTGACACCGGGACATGGAAGTGGAGATCGATGCCGATAGGAAGCCGTGGCGAACTCTTCTGTGACGCCATCCAACCTGTCGCTGATTCGGTGCTTGGTGGCCGTGCATGTTTAGGGAGCAGGCACCGGGCATGCAGAGGTGCCGGTTCAGAACTACATGCACAATACCTCCCAACTGCAGGAATGAGTACAGCACCGCACGTCAGGCCCACTTGTGGTTCTCCCATCTGCCGCCGGATGTTCAGAGCACTGGAAGCCGCGTTCCAAGACTCTCAACCCGACAGAGGTCCTAAATCAAACACCGGATCAACAAGCTATTGCGAAACTCGAGAACCGAAAATTCCGGAAAGCTTCCAGCTTAACCCAAACTTTGAACCCTGCAGCCTGAACCCCCCAAAACCATACCTAAACCCCAAACTCTAGAACCCAAACCCACGACCCCTTCGTGCCTGAGTTGGTCGCCAATGCGTGCGAGAACTCCGAAGTAAGGCCTTCAAAAGACATGCAACAGGGGTTTTGTGGTCGAGGAAACTCCTACAGTCCCAAGGGTTGGCGGTGTTCACCAGGAAGCCCCGATTAACATGCAACACCCCGCTTTGTAGGCCTCGCCAAACACCTGCAGCTTTGGGATCCTTAAGGCAGGGGACCCCCCCAAGGCGGTATACAACTCACTTGTCCCTTGCTTCAGCATGCCAGAATGGAGCCCGACACAATGTAGAACTACTAGGCACTCTGTGTGTAAACCGCCTAAGTCGAGAGACAACATTCGCCCCTTTGCACAGGCAGTGATTGCAAGAAGCCTCCGAAATTAGGAGCCAATGGGATTGCACTTCCTTGTACGGAAGTCTGCAGATTCAATACAAAATCCTACACCGTTTAGTGTATAGCTACTTGGAGTTGCTACAGTTTCGGGTTCGGAACTCTGTAGAAACTCCGTCCAGCTTGACGGTTTGAGCCCTTATCTTATCTCGAAGATCCGGTCCGACTCCGGGCCTTACGGTTTTAGGGGTAGGGTTGAGGGTTTGCAGGCCTGCTAGTGGGTTCGAGGTTTAAGGGTTCGGAAGCTCGGCGTAAGATAAATACAGGCTCCACGCAAGCAACGGCAAAAACAAAACCTGATTATCTCTTTCGAATGCTGGCCCCCCCCAGCAAGCCGCAGGGTGGTCCCGAACTGGAGAAAGGTTTTGGGCTTCAAAGGTTAGGGCTTTAGGACCTTGGGAGTTGTGTTTAGGGGGTGACTCTCGAAATGCTGAGAAGTGGACCAGCCGGATGCAATGATGTCCTCGGAGGCTTGAAGGCGTTGAAAAGGCTGCATCCACACATTCTCGACCCATTGTGGGATGTAGGGGTCTAGGTTGCCAAGCAAATTACACCAAACAAGAATAAAGCTTAATTCTAGTCTAAGCCCTAAAACATGCTAAACCCTAAAACCTAACCCCTTAAACTTCATGGGGGCCAAGGCTTGTTTTGAGGGCAGGAGAACACCCTTACGATAGTGCCTAGGACATTCGGAAGTTCAGAAACTCTCATCCTGACTACATCCCCCTAGATGCCTGATTCTAAGAAGCGGTGTGGATTAGGGTTTCGTGTTTTCTGAAACTCCTGGCAGGGGGGGTGAATCTCTCGTGCTTCGTTTAGGGCTTTCGGGCGATCATTTCGACTTCAGGATTCTGAGATTAGTAGTACCCCTAAACCCTGAACTCCTAAGTCCTGAACCCCCCGAGCCGTTTGGATTCGTGAAGCTTTGCAGGGACCTCTCGGCAGTTCAGGGTGGTAACGCATCTTTGCGTCGTGAGTTTGTAAGGCGACTAGTATCAGGGTGCAAGCTTGCAGCGGCTATGGTACAAATTGTAGGCTGCAGGGCTTCTTGGAAATGTCTGTAGTATGTTCCGCTGACTGCGAAGCTTCTTGAGGGAGAATATTGGGACCTAAGCTTGCTCAGTTTTTCCGTGTGTACGCCTCTGTGTTATGGCACGTGACCTCCGAAAAGCGAACCCTAGTTTCGGGAAACCCACAGATGCACTTGGGCTCAAGGCTGCGAAACCCAGCCGCAATCGTGCCTCGGCTTTCTTCCGCTGAGACAAGATGCTTCGGTGCTTCTGCGGGGTTTCAAGGTGTTTATCCAGGTCCCTCTGGCTTTGAAGTCCATCGAAAACAGGGTCCGTCTCGCACCGAGCACACGACAACGGAACAGTTTACGGCGCAGCGCTTAGTGAAGGGCTTAGGCTTATGTAGGGGTCTAGGGCGTTGCACGAATGCTTAGGGCACCTGTCGTAGCTTAGAGCTTTTCGGCTTGGGGTGTCGAGGGTTCATGCACGTAACCGACGGACGTACTGAGGATTACTCAGTCTGGAGAAAGCTGTTGCTGTAGTGGTGGTAGCTACGTTTGCCATAGGGTAGCGAGCCTGTTATCATCACAGTCGTCACTGCTCTAGAAGACACTGTACAGAACCCTGCCTTCTTGCAAACCTTTAGAGCAAACGTTCACCCCTGTTTTACGACCCTAAGCTGGACCCTGCAACCACCCAGTAGACCCCATCAGCAACATCTCGGCGGCACTGTTTAGGAATGATTGGCCCTTAGCAGACTGATCGGCCATTAGCAGTAAGCTTGGAGCCTCAAGGAACCCATAAACCAAGAAGCCCTAAACCCTAAACCCTCTAGTCCACAAGCTCGAAAACCTCAGACCCGACAATCCTAAACAAGACTCTACACCGACTCTACACTTTAACCCGTCTATGTTATATATGTATACGTATATGCACAGAGAGAGATTCGATATATATATATATATATATACATATCCATCTATGCGCAAAACCTGTCCTTTGTCCAACGAGGAGCCAAGTCTAGCAGTCCGCGGCCCCATCGCTTCCGGACCTACAGCAGCTTTTCGGGGGCAAGTTGGAGAGTTTTGTTTGCTAGTGCCCTGCATGCTTTTCGTCAGCGCGCTTCGGCGCTCGCTCGAAGGAACTCTTCAGGTCTCGATTTATCGTAGCACGCACTTGATGTGGTCCTTGAATTCCTTTACCGGGTTTTGAGTCCAACGGTTCGGGCAATGCCTCTGCGTTGTGATCTCTATCCAGCGTATGGCATGTTCATACCTCTTCCTACAATGTGGTCCTTGTATGCCGAGTTAAAGACTACATTTTGGAAAGGATGGACCGTCCATTTTCGCCCGAAATACTGCTATCAGGAGCTTACGCTGGGCGCTTTGTCGGCAGTGTAGGTTCCTGTGGTAGTTGGCCGTGCGCCACACGATATGGTGGGGGAGAGTAATATGAGGCCTTGATGTTGACTATCCTTCTACGCAACCTGAGGTAAGATTCGACTCGGGCGATGGGTTTATGAGTGAGGGTAAGGGCGTCGAGTCCAAAGATCAACGTGATACATACCGATTGGAAGATACGAAGTTTGGTTCTTTTGGTGAGTGTACTGTTCCAAGTCAACCCTCGTTTTTTGTATGATGCTTCTGCTACCGCTGCTCTCTGACGGAAAGCTGCATCAAAGGGCTTCTCCCGACTAATCACGGACCACAGATTCCCAGATTCTTTGCCTGCGGATGCCCGTTAAGAAAGGGTTTCGGTGTAGTCTGTCTAGGGTCGCAGCCTGTTTCTCGCCCTCTGAACAAGTGTATCTTGTTCGATGCCGACACCACGGACAGTGAGTTGACGGCACGAGCCACCACGTCCTGTTCGTTGCATATGAAAACCCGTTTCGGTTATGCCAGTGCACCAGGCCTTATCAAACACGTGCGGACGCGGCCCCTTCAAGGCGCCCCACCGCAGATCCGTAGTCCGTACACGGGGCGTTGTTAGCCCGCCCTGGATGGTACTTGCGCCGCAGACTTTCCAGGAATCCGGAATGCAACGATAGCCAAACACCCTTGCAGCTGCCCGGTCTGCGATAGTCGCCAGCCCACTGTCGGTGCCGGTAGAGGCATCGTCCAACGTGCGGTACACCTACCGCTTGGAGGGCTGAGGGTTTGGGGCTTAAAGCTTAGGGTCTGGGCTCCACTGACCACCAATCATGGAAGCTTAATCCCCGGGGAAGATTTCCGTCGGGTCCAGCTGAAATGCATCCTGCCTCAAGGCAAAGACCTACATTAATGGGAGCTTAGGGACCGCAGAAGACCCCTATTCTTAGAGACCCCGAATGAAGCAATCTTGACATCGTCCAGGAACATCCGTCTTGGTAACGACCGTCGAATCCACCCTAAATGCCTTGATCCAAGGGATCGGAGTCTCAGTCTCAGTCTCTGAATAACCATCATACAGGTGGCCTGTGGAACCCTGTCGTGACGCTTATCTTTATCCGGTCATCTGTCACGGGTCTGACTGAAAACAGAAATCAAACACTCAACGGTCCAGGTCCTCAAGCAGTTCTATGGGACTTTGCATCCCAGAGGAGTTCCCCTTAGTACCCTTTCGAGCGAAAGTATACATGGCTTCGTCCTCTTGGAGTCGACCCTTATGGCGACGTATGCATGACCGAATACCATAATATAGGCACCAGAACCCTAATCTAGTTCAGACGGAGGTGGAACAGACCCTAAACCCCAAAAGCATGTTTTCGAGGACTCATGTGCCGGATTCACGATGAGGAACCCCAACAAGGTAGGGCTTGGGCCGGGCTTGGGGGCTTAGGTAGACTCTAGCAACCGTAATGGCCTTAACCTGTCAGGTCCGTCGGATCAGTTGCAGGTTCTAGGGCTTACGAATTCTTGGGTTCGGGGCATTTACATGATTATCGTGCTTGGTTTAGGGTTGTTGCCAAAAGCTGGATTGCCAACTCAGGTTCGCCTTTTGGCTCAACACCGAGGCCTCAGAAGCTAGCCACAGCATTTTGTTGACTTTTCCTGGTATGGGAGTAGTGTAGACACCCCAAAAAACCCCAGTCAAATAAGCCAGGCATCAAAATGGGCAGATGTCGGGCCCTGCATCGAACCCGCAACATTTAAATTTAAAGACGGTTATTGCAAACTTCACACTGCCTGGGGCCAAGACCAACTTCACACTGCCTGGGGCCAAGACCAACTCATGCCAGCGCTGATTTTTGTTGTCCTGTCCAAGGTCTTCAGGCTGGCAAGGCAAGCACAAACTCGGTGGGTTGGCGTTGAGGAGGTTCCAACCCCGCTGACACTCAGAACTCAAACCCTGCACCAAACAAGGGATCGTGTCGGGAATTGTTGATTTCGGCATGTTGTGATGACATGGCTGACATGTAGGGTTTGGGATTAGGTACACCCTCCCCGAAACTAACATGCAAAAAAAAGGGGCCCCACTGTCGGACTCACAGTGGTGCTGTCTACGGTTGGGAGTCCATGCTATTGTTGGCGAGGGCAATGAGCCAACCGTAAACTTAGCGGTCCAGCTCGTAGGCAAACGTAAAGCTGCAGCGTTATCGAACGCAGACCCCTGACTAATAAACCCCCTTCTTCAAAAGGATGTCGATAGGGACCAAAAACACAAAGGTTCCTTAACGGGAGTTTACCAATCATGGGCTTCCTCACCATGGACATCCCCGTCGTGTGACACTGTCATGCTTTAAGCCAGGCTATGACTTCTGCTAACATATCTAAACATCTTACAGTAAAGATTTGCTCGACATCCCGAAACCCTGTACCCTGAGATGCTAGACCCTAACCCGCAACCGCCGAACAATCAAAGCCTAAGCCCTCCAAGAAGAGACCCTAACATCAACACCGCTATCGGGACCCCTTGACATCCTTAAAAAAGAAGGGCTCCGGCATTCAACCCTGAACGCGCGCAGAGAATCCCGAAGCAGCCTTCGAAGCGCACAAGAGCGAGAGAGACCTGCCGCAGAGTCACTCGAAACTGCTATACCGTGGCTCTGTGAACTGAACTGCTTTCGGGCACATGTAAGTGGTGGGTTTAGGGTGTACGGTTTCCTAACACCAAGATCCTAAACCCTGAAACCTGACGGAGGGTCGAAGTTACGGATTTGAGTTTCGGTTTGGCGCTTTCCGGATTGAGACTCGATTGCGGCCTTAGATCAAGGTTTGAGTGTTGCTTGGAGGTTGACGCTGTGATACTCTTATGAATTAATCAAGCCGCAAGAGGAAAGCCGCCAATCGCAAGCAGCAGGTCCCGGGCTTAAGGCTCTAGGGCTTGGAATTGAGACTCAGGGTTTTAGGTTCAACCCACATGGCCCGGATAATCACTCTGTGCCTGACATCCTCAGCATCGAAAGACCCAAAGAAAAACGAAACCTGTTGAAGCAACCGTCCGAGCGGTCTTGGGGTGTGATTGTTGGGATCGGATTTGGGATTTCGAACGGTTTATGGCGGCTGTGACTCCGATCACTCCTTACGGAAAAACCTCTCAACACAACAAACCCCTCAGCTGCCACGCACCCCCGTTTGCGAAGCTAATAGCAACCGGAATCTTGGACCCCATACCACCCCAAATCCGAAACTTAACCGAATGCGCGCCTGAAAAGCATGAAGCCAACAGGGCATTGAGTGAACAGCACCGTGCAGTCTGCGCACTCGCACTCACCTGAGTTTAGGGAGTAGCGCTAGGCTGGCTTTGGCAACCGTTAGACCCAAAACTACCAACCCTGAAACCCGACACCCTAACGTCCCAAGCCCGGAAAATTATCCTAAGCCCTGTTCCCTACAAGCCACACTTCATGGCTTCTTTAGGATTTAGGGTCGTTATGATGTGATTTGACAATATACACGAAATACTCAACATCTGGCTAGTCCGCGGTTGATTTATAGTGGTTCATGTTGGCTCCCTAAGATCAATAAGCAGGTATGAACTCGATATGTATCTATATCATATGATTTGGTTATGGATCTGGTTTTTAGGTCTTATACCCTAGCCAAACCGTTTAACATCATGATGGCATACCTCTATTCATACTGAAACCATGCAAAAAAACGCATCAAAACCAACTTGGAATCAGCAAACATCAGGTGCTTTAAGATGTTCTAGGCCACCAATAATACTGAAATCACATTTAACATGTTGTTTAACCCCATATCAAAATCACACTTCAGCATGCCAACGTCATTTACACGTCGAAGTCGTTCCTATCGTTTCATATTCCCAGAACCACATGTAACCAAAATTTGTCGCAGACGACCTTGTTTAAACACCTTCCTGTTTTCTCAAGAAAATCATGGCCTCGCTAGGAACTTAAAAAGCATCAAACCTGTACTGAATTCGAAAAGGCATACTACTGCATGCTAACCATTGAGACATCTATACATTACGGGCTGGGGGATATTGGGTCTGGATTCGCGGGGTGGGCCAGAGTTTTGGTGCCGCCCTGCCCCCCGCCCCCCAACCGGCCACCGGTGAAACTGCATCTAGCATCGAAAAAGAGCATTTTTTCCCCCTGCCTCTGCTTGGGGTTTGGGGATTAAGGTTTAGGCTGTAGGGTTAGCCGAGACTCGGCCGGGGCCGGCCGAGACTTGGGTGTAGGCTTTAGGGTTTGGGAGCCTGAAATTATGTCCTCTTGCGTAGCCGCCTCACAGTGACCGCGACTTGGCCGAGACTATGCAGTGTGTGAGCCGAGACATCAACCAGGCCATTTTGACACAAACAAAAATTCCAATTTGATACGCGACCCTCTCAGGACAAGTCCGGAACCATACACCCCAAAACCCCGAACCCCAACCCTCAACCAACCCCACACCCCAAACCCTTAACCCCCAAATCCGAAGGCCTCTTTGTCAACCCTAACTCCCAAGGAGGCGATCCTTGGAAATGTCACTTTTAGACACCCTTTATGGGACCCTTTGGGAACACCCTCATGGCAACGAATACTGTGCGGACATCCTTTTTCTAACAGCCTGCATAGGAATCCTAAGCCCTCGGCCCCGAGACCATATCCCCTAAACCCCAAGCCCTAGCCCCAAGCCCTAAACCCACAAGTAGGCGAGAGTCAGCCCGTGGCATTCCACCAGGAAGGGCAAATGAAGTCAAGCGATTCGGATCCCTGGTGGGCATCTTAAGTTTTGCTTCGGGTGTTGGGGCTTTCGGCTTTAGTCTGTAGGCATTTTTGTTCGAGGGCTCTTTTCTACCTGTTGTGCAGCTAGACGGTTCTAGGGTTTATACAGTTTTCATAGGTTTAGTAGTTGAGGTTTTAAGGTTTCTGCAGAGGCTGCTACAGCGGTTCCATGAGGTCCAACAAACGGTTGTTCCAGGGTTCTGGTTCATTACGGTGTTAAAAACAGGGCCTATATACTTAGACGACGGGTATGACGTGTATGAACGTTTTCTACTGTGGCCCTAAACCCTACTGTATACCCCTGAACCTTAGCCCTAAACCCCAAGCCCTCGACCTTAAGCCCCAAACCCTAAACCCCCAAGTCTGAAGCCGTAAATCCTCAATCCCCAAGTCTCAACCCCTAAAGCCCCGACCCCCAAACCATGAGAACTAAGCCCTAAAGCCTAAAACCCCTAAGGACTTGCGCCTGGTAGGGCGACTCCACGAACTCCCAGGCCTTCCACGTGCTTCGAAACCGCTTTTGCTACTCTTGCTTAGGGTTTAGGGCTTAGAGTCTAGGGCTGAGAGGATTTAGGGTTTAGGCCTTAGACGGTCTAGGATTTAGGGCTTAGGGGGTTTAGGGATTCAGGCTTCAAGGGTTTAGGCTTAGGGCTTCACTAGTTTTGCTCGGTATCTCAAGGGCTCTTTTACAGGTTGACGGTTGAGAGTTCTCTGTGGGCTTTCTAAGATCTACGAGGGTTTCTACAGGAGTGCGGAACTTAGGTCTTCGTTCCCTTTGTATACCGTTATTAGAAAACACCTCTCCGCAAGACTGAGGTTGTAAGAGGGCATTAAGGCTTTGTAGGGATATGTCTTGTACAGACATAGGTTTCCGTGAAGTGCTACAAAGGCTTCTTAGGGGCTCTATAATTAGGGCTTCATGCTTGTTCTTCGGGTGGGCTTTGAGGCTTGAGGGTGCTTGTTGTTTGGAAGTTTTGGGGCTTTGGGCTGTGAGGGATGCTTGACTGCTTGACAGGCTTGGTATGTTCGGGTTTCAGGGATGCAGCAAGCTCAAAGTATCTGTCCCAAGAAACTGGCCATCAGGCAGGTTCCTTTCCAGTTAAGATCTGCCTATAAAAAAGTAGTCCCGATGATGTACTGTGCTCCGGATTTCGTGGCTTGTGTGCTCGAAAGTTCCGCGAGCCGGCGGCCCAGCGTCCAGTAACAGAAGGACTTTCCAGAAGCTCGGCTATACCCATGATGGGCGGCTATACTTCTACACCAAAACAGTGGACATACAGATAGGCTGATAGGCTTGTTCGACATCGTGCAGAAGAATGTAAAGACACAGAGACATCTCAACATCGAAACCAAGGGTCCGTAAACTGGCAAAAGGGATGCATGCCGCGAGGGTGAACCGCTGAACCCTGCAAACGCTGAAAGCCCGAATAGACTGAAGCTGCAGCGAAACATCGGGAAGAACAAACTGGAGTTCACAGTTTGATCATTGATAGAGGTGAGGAATCTGAATTGCAGTCTTGGGGTGGGGGTCTTCCAACGAAGCCCCGCATGAGACGAACTTGCCTTCTGCTTCAAGCTTGCCCAGTCAGTGTAGTCCTGCAGCATTTCTCGCGGTTAAGCATTTGACGTTTCAGCTCGCTCCGTCATGATGTCTCGGAAAGACATCCATTTCTGCCAACATTTTGTACCTCCAGTTTAAGCCCTCAATTTTCAAGGCATTAAGGAATTTAAGGTGGGCTGTGGTTTGCGACGGTAGGGTTGGAAGCTTGAACAGTGAGCCCTAAGCCCCCAAGCCCCAAAGCGCATTTTAGAAAAATGGGGGACCCTAATACAGTACCCGAAATAATAGTAGGATCCTTATGATAAGGACTCCCAAAATAAGGTATCCCTTGGAGCGCTCCTCCACCGAGACGGCCTTGACTGTTGGGCGATAGCCTCGGGACTCGCCGACTTCATCAAGCTAGGCTCAACGGGGAAAAAGGAGGGACCCTGAATGGGGACTCCTACCCTATAATGGGCTATATAATGAGTAAAGCATGGCCAGCCTCACGGATGTAAAGGATTTAGGGACTTGTCGGAGATAGGACGTAATTGGTGACTTACGATACGGGAGTTTCAGTGCAGAGTGCGCGATCAAGTGCATTATGGTTCACCTGTTGTGGCTCCAACTGCCTACCATTCTAAGCGCTTGTCATAGCCTGCTGCGTCGCACGGCTTGGGCCTGCAGGTAATTATGCTATTCGTGCGGCAATACCCGCCTTTTTGTGGCATGTAGTTACACTACAATACGAACAGTTTAACTGACATGCAAGAAAACAGGGCACTTGACGGTTTGTTCACGACTCGGCCTCTTTATCGCAGGCGGCTGAGTGTTTGGGGGTTCAAGGCGGCTAGGCTTTACCGTGAACAAGAGAGCGGATGTGCAACCTGCATGCAGCCCCAAACCCTACAGAAGAGAATTTACATGTCTAAATATGGACATAGGTTAGTGGTGCATTGGAGACAAAGGCCAGCGACAGCACTCACATCGAAACAACCCATATTTTTTCTAGCAGTCAATCTAAGGGTTCTGGGGCTTGGAGGGGTTTGGGGGTAAAGGGCTTTTGGGTAAGGGCATTTTACTATTGAGCATTACGTGTAAGTACTGCTCAGACCTCTTACCCCCACCACCACACAGTCGGACCGAAAGAAGTCGACTAGGCCACTAATTGCCACTAATGTTTAATGACAGCACGACAGCACTGACTGACTGTCCCGGAACGACCCGACCTGTAGACAACCGCTCAAAAAAAGACGGTCCCAACTCTAAATCTTTCACTCCCAGCCTTTCAAAGCCTGAGCATTGCACTACATAGAGTTCCTAATCGCTCCCTTTAAACACGTCCATGAGCATCCTATAGCTAAAATCAAACAACCCTGCAGCTGGGGCATCGGCAGGAGTTCGGAAAGTGCAAGTTCCTTAAGGCTGCCCGAGCGAAGGCTTTGAGAGCTCTACTCCGAACCCTAAGCCCGAAGCCCTAACTTCAGAGTCGAAAAGGTCCTGGGCTTAGGCTTCAGGCTTGAGTGTCTACAACCAAAACAACAAAACCATGACCGATAAACCACCATCAGAAGCTAAACTGAGAAGTGCCCCGACAGCAGCCTATTCTAGCAAGCCTTATCTCTTCGAGTCCCGACATGAACGCAAGAGACGTTTGTGAAGCAGGAATCAGCTGCTTTGGGTGAGGGGTGCAGGCCCACGCTGTGTGCAAACAAGTGCATGCTCATCCAGACCGAATAACATACCAACAAAGCATACAAGCCAAGACCTTGGATCCTAAACCCTTTTGGGCTCAAGTCAGCAATCTACGGGCTGCAGGCGCTGCGCTGGTCCTATCGCGACGAAGGTGACCCGGCACCAAGCCACAAGCATAATACCAGTCTCTCTATCGCTTTACGACCCTTTATGCAGATTGTTGCTAGCATCTCCTTTGCAGAAAAAGTTGGTATCCAAAAAAGTTGGTATCCAGGGAGAGGTGCGGAATTGACTCTGTAGGAAAGCTCTAGACCCATTGAGCCCGATGCTTGGGGATTTGACATCTTAGATTTCTCAAACTACTATACCCTAAACATTATGCCGCCCCAACTCTACATCCCTAAACCTGAAATCCCTGAAACACAAAACACTAAAGAATTACCCCTAAACTCGAAGCATTGCAGCTCCGATTGCCTGATGAGTCTGATGATGACTATCACTGCTATTGCTTTCGTGTCAACTGCCTTTATGATGTTGTGACATGTGCTATGATTGAAACCCAAACTTCGATCCCGACATGCCCGACCTTGAACCCTGATCTCTACATCCCTACAAAACCCTAAACCCTTAACCCGGAACCTCCAAATCCCAAACCCCTAAACTCAGCTCATTCAGCGCAGATGCAAGATCCTGGAGTCGCGGAGTTTCCGCAATTGTACATCAAGGCGCTGCCACGGCGACAACAGAACACGACTGCAACTAACCGTCCCCCTAAAAGGTCACAGGCACACAAAAAACCTGGAGACTAAACGCATGCGACGTGCTTCTCGTCCGGGTGTGGGCACTTCGTGTTCGGAACTCGGTGGCTAGGCTGACAGCCAGAGAATTAGGAAAGCATAGGGTAATGTCTGAACATCCACAAACACGGTTGTTCTGTGCACATACGATGATATTTTGGCTAAGTGGAAATCAGAACAGCAGGACGAACTAGGAAATGTCAGCCCTAGCCTGAATGAAGTCTGGCACAAGCGGCCTCAACACGAACTACAGTAGACTCCACAAAGATGGAAACCGGAATAAGGCCAAATAGTGCTGGAGCTCCCTATGCATTACTCTTAAGGATTGAGGCTATGGGGTTTCCAATTTTTGGGCTTCTACTGTAAGAGAGGTATCTTAAGAGATCTGGATTTGCCGCGCATGGGACGACGAGGGAAGGAAGTCTTGGGACTTCTGCCACCATCAGTTCATGCTCTGAGCCCCAGTCATGTGATGTAATGTGTGCCGTTAGCTTTTTGAGCGCCAGAGGTCTGGGTGGCCGTTATCAGACTTGGTGGTTAAAGACGCTTTGAGGAAAGGATGAGGTCTGCATGGACGTTATCATAGTTGGCCCCTGGATGCTCACGGTTGACCCACAGATGCTATTGGGGACGGACGGATGAGGTCTACGTGGAGGTTATCATGGGCTTGGACTGGGGAAGGGTGAGGTCTGGATGGACGTTGTTCTGGTCTTGGCCCATGGATGCTCCGGAGAACGGGCATAAGGTCTTGGTGGGCGCTATCATGGTTTGGCCCATGGACGCCCTGCGGAACGCATGAGGTCTGGATGGGATAATGTCACGGTTGACCCATGGATGCTCTCGGGAACGGATGAGGTCTGAGTGGGATTGACCCATTTGCGTGCTCTGGGGAGCAAATGTGTGGTCGAAGTGGACGTTATCATGGTTGACCCATGGATGCTCTGGGGACGGATAAGGTCTTGGTGGACGTTATCATGGTTTTGGCCCATGGATGCTCTGGGGAACAGATGAGGTCTGGGCGGATGTGATATGGTGTGCCCATGGATGCTCCTGGCAAGCAGGAAACTACCAGGTTTTTGATGCGCCTGCTTCCCCCTAAAAGGGTTTTGGGTTTAGGGAGCTCTATTTACAAGCAGATGACTATGTACTAACGGCTTTCTGGCTCTGGCTTGATGATAGAAGAGCCAAGGCACGATGGCTCAGCGACATCGCTGGTGAGAGCTGCATGGCCTGGTCAAGCCAGAGCTCAATGCGATGGCACTCCAAACACAACACGCACTGTGGGGTTCAGGGTCAACCGTGCAAAAGGCATTGTTCCAAACCTTCAGGGCGCTGTAGACTTTCTTGAACCATTATCATGTAGGCGTGTTGAAACTTCTAGAAACATCTGCCGAGCCTATCCTCTCCATTGCAGTTCCTTCTTTCGGTTACATTATAAGATCCTAAACACAAACTTGATGAAGACCCAAAAAAGGAAGTAGAATGAAAACAGTAAGTGAGCTCAGGGTGTGGGGCTTCAGATTCAAGGGTCCAGAGGATGGAACATGCTAGGGGCTCCACTGAAGCCTCAAACCCCAGAAATTCAATTAACGGGCTGATGATCCTGCACATATACGATATGCAAGCGAAGTGGTGGTACTTGGACCCACAGTTACACCGGCAACACCATAACAGCAAACACCTACAGCTGGACGACCCAAAAAGGCTACCCTGTACAGATTTCCCCTGAAGCCCCTAAACGAAGAGGTCTTGCACGACGGAAGCTCCTGTCCAGCTTTGGGATGATTTGATTTGGGGCTGGGGGCCGCGATCTCTTCAAGACATGCCTAGTCCCATGGCCCTGAAACTCTTAAACTCAAAGCCCTCGACCTCACCCTATCAGCCCTTACCTGCATCCCCAAAACCTACAAAATCTTTGGTTATGACCCTTTAATTCTGATTGTCAGGAGAACAAAGCGAACACTTATCTGAAATAGAAGCCACACACACAGGCCACGACGTAAAACCTCAAGTCGGCTGTTGGCCAGTAAGCTTGAGCCCTAACACAGTCAACCCTGAACTTCTAAACCGTAAACACGGAAACCACAAAACCCTGCACCCCGGAAGATTCGGAAGCCCTGCAGCCCTAAACCAGTGCGAAACCAACTGCTATAGAAGCCTGAAGACGTACCAATAACATTCCTTCACGGTTCCTCAGTGCGTTTACATACCCTTTTCTACTCTAAACAGAGACCTTATAGAAACTCGCAAAGAACACTTCAGTGAAACTCTTATGAAAGAAGCAGCTAGTCCGGCCCTTTATTACGAGACTCCAACAAGATCAGACCAGCTGCTGTCGATGTCCCACATGGCCGAAGGCTAGGCCCCACATGTGGCATCAGATCCACCATGCTTGGGGGGTTTGAGGGCGGTTTAGGGTTTAGGGGTGAGCATAGGGCTTAGAGGTTTGAGGGGGTCTTGGGGCTTAGGGTTGAGGGCTTTGGGGAGGTTTGAGGGGGGGTTAGGGCTTAGGGTTTGGCGCTGAGGAGGTTAAGGGGACTCGGGTTTTAGGGTTTGGGGCTTAGGGTTGAGGGGTTGGTGGTTTCTGCGACATGCGCAAGGTGATATTCGACTTGTAGAAAAGGGCTTGAGGATCCTGTTAACATAGGGACTAGTTGTGCATGGCTTCGGGCTTCGGGGTCTGACGCTTGCGGGTTGAGGGGAATAGACTGCAAGGCTTGGCTTGGAGCTTGAAGGCCTAGCATTTAGGGCCCTAGGGTTTGGGCTGTTGGCGATTCAAGGTTGGGCTTCATGTAAGCGAGCATGCAGCTCGGTTTGCTGCAAGAGCAAGAGCGGTTGAGCCGAGAGCAGATCGAACGGTTGGCGAGTATCTTCCAGGCAAATCATACATACATATATATATATATATATATATATGTCATATATATATATATAATATGTATATATATATATATATAATATGTATATAATATATATATATATATATATATATAATATGTATAATATGTATATATAATATATATATATATATTATATATATATATATATACAATATGTATATATATATATATAATTATATATATATATATATATATATAACTTCCGAGAGACACCCCCTAAACACGAATCCACTAAATCCCGGAACCCACCAGAAGTCACGCCTTCCAACCGGGATCCTTGAAGTGAGCTTACCTTCGACCGACAGCCTTAAGCTAACCCAAAAACTTAATATCTATGTGTGTGTATATATATATACACACACATAGGGGCCTTTATAGGACCGGGGGTTCCGGGCCCATTATACTATAATAATTACAACAAGGAGCCACCGAAATAGTATCGGTAATAATTTAGGCCCCTATATTAGTCGAGCCCTTACAGGCAGCCGTAAGACCTGAGAACAACCCTCACACGCATGAAACCAAAATCCACAAGTAACACCCTCCGCATCCGCCTCAAAAAACCAGAAATCCAGGGAGGGAAGCCTAAACTCTAAACGATAAGCCCTAAACTACACTAAACACCAAACCCTGACACCTTAAACCGTACACCCAACCCTTACCCCCTACACCCTCAAACCCTAAACCTTGGACCCTTAAACCCTAAACCTAGACGTCAAACCCTAAACCCTAAACCCTCGAAAACCCCAAGGGCTGGAAGGTTCCGGGCCCGGATCATCTCTCTCGTCTTCCCGGAGCCCGTCGGGTGGTCGACGAGGAGACGGCGCACCGGGCTCCTCGGGATTCGGAATCAGGAAGGAGCGTTTAGGTTAGGCATCATCGTTTGGGGTTTATCGTCTAGGGTTTCGGGTTCTTTGGGAGAAAGAGCGGGAAGATGAGGGCTAAGAAGTATGATCCTTCTAGAATCCCCTATGACAACGCTCTCATGGCGCTTTCAAAATCGACCCTGGGCTCTGGGCTACTGGTCTTTCCGAGCCACGACGGGGCCCCAAGCCCGAAAAAGGCTTCCAGCTCAATGTGGGATTCATATGCGGGCATGGATAGGCTTGTGGGAGTATAATATCCCCTTGCACTCTCTGCATAGTTAGACTGGGCTATACACCGAAACTAGATTCTGAATGAGTATAAACGGCGAGAGCCCAACGAAGAATGTGGAAACCTCACTGAAACTCAAGAGTTCCTTACTCAGGCTCCTGTACTACAGGAAATCAAGGGTTACGTATGCCCTCCAATGTAATTCAAAGGTCCTACTACTGAGAATAAGGTTTTAAGGCCTAGTCTGCTAGTTTTACAAGGAATGTCACTAACAAGTTCCATGGTTCTTTACTTACTGTTGTTGGGAGGTGTGCCAACTCGATGGTCAGGACGCTTGAATGCAGCGCGTGTGCCAGTAGAAGTAGAGTCTGCTAATAAAGGTTTAAAAACGCACGGCATGACATAGAACCTCAAGGAGTAATCCTACCGAGAGACCACTAGCTCCGGACCCTCGCGTTTAGGCAGCCGGGTCATTGCTAAGTCTTGCTAGGGGGGGTAGTCTTCCTTCTCATCCACTCAGAACTGTTGTTCAGATGTTCAAGTACTGCCTAAACATGCTGCAGTCTACCATGCTGGAAAATAACCATCTGGTTGTTGGAAGATCCCTCCATCTAATCACTGTGATTCTAAATCAGGTCCCGAAGGAAAACCATTGATCCGGCAGGGCACTTGGGATGCATCAGGAAGCCAACCGCCTGGGCAGGACGGGCTCCACGTAAGTGCTTTCGGTTTTCAGGGCACTTAAGCCTCGGCAAGCTTAGGGCTTGGGGCTCGAAGGGCTCTCGCGATATGCGAGTTTGGAAACAAAGCAGTGCCAAAACTTGTAGAAAGGACGTGGTGCAAGGTTACAACGAAGAACTTATCTTTGTCGAGGTGCTTGTATGGTCCTTGCAACATAGCGGCCTTAATGGGTACAGTATGGTTGTGGGCATGCAAAAGCGTTTGCAGAGGTCTTTCCTTTGTTGATGATTCAAGACTTCAAAGCAGGTGATGTTACCAGATTGCTCCAGGTTCGCTGATCGGGAAAATCTTGGGTGCTTCATCTGCTTGTTTGCAGGGCACACCGCATCCATCTTGAGCCACTTAAACTTACCCCGAGAACTCACATTAACACCCTAAGCCCTAAACCCTACACCATCTAAAGCCAAACCCAGACCTGGCTTAGGAAAGGGTCGCAGGAGTTCTTTGTCAAATGGAAGAATCCAGTGCAAGGTGCTTCCAACACCTACACCCAAACCGAGCATCCTCCGGGTCCAGTGCAAGGTGCTTCCAACACCTACACCCAAACCGAGCATCCTCCGGGTGTGATCTCTGCAAACGAGACATGTTAGCGTAGCTGCCTGCAGAGAACTTCCGGTATGGAAAGCATAGGGCCTAGGAATAAGCTTCAGCGTTTCGCGCTGTAGGGTTTCAGATCTAGTGAGGACAAGCTTCACCAAGTGCACATAAAAGCTCTTCCCAAAGGCCATAGAAACCCATGCGAAAAGACACGCTACAAACTTTGTTAAACCCTAAACCTACTTCTGGCCTCCTGGTGAGGCTGCAGCGGCGGGCATGCAGCCTGTTCGTCGAAGGTGACCTGCTGACGGTGACCACGGGTGTTCACGGGCTTTGGTTTTTGTTGGAATGGCGGAAGGGGGGAGTTCTTTTTAGGGCTTGGGTTTTGCGGCTAAAATTTTGGATCGGACATGGGGATTTAGGCTTTAGGGCTGAGGTTGCAGGAGTTTGGAGCTTGGGGATTAATCCAGTGTTGCCAAGAGTTCCCGTCCCCCACATTTCAGATTGTTGTCCCTGCGGACAGATAGGCAATACACGAACCCGTTACATCGGCCGCTAGGCTACTGGAGTTGCTTGCTTTGCGGACACTTGGCAACTCTTCATAAGGAATTACAGAGTTCACAACATCTCTCGTGATTGCTGGGTGTCTACACCATGTTGTTCAATCCTTACAAGTCCTCTACCCCTAAACCCTGATCCCTCAAACCCCCACAACCTCAAACCGCTGCATCCTAATCCTAAGTCCCAAGCACAAAGAACCTGAAACCGGCAAGACAACTATACAACAACCCCCTGTAGAACAGTATGAAGCACTTATGAAGCCATATAAACCCCTTAAAAAAAGTGTACCACCGCCAGGCGAAAGGGGAAATACATCTTCAACCCGATTCAGGGTTTAGGGCTTATGGTTTAGATTTTAGCACTGCGCCCCTAACCTTTTTGACCTCTAAAAAACACTTTTAAGCCCCAAGCCCCACAGCCTAGACCCACAGCTCTAAACTCTAAACCCCAGACCTGGAGTTGCCCCTGGCCAACTTCGGACTTGATCATGACCGCCGTCGCACGGCCTCAGAGCACCCGAAGAGTGGAGCACGGTTTTTTTGTTGGAAGCCTAAGTCGAGTTTTGGAAATAGGGCTTTGGTGCATGGTCTAGGCCTACGGTCTCTAGCGTGTTGGCATAAGGTTTGGAACAAGCGTGTATATATATATGTATATATATATATATATATGTAGACACATGTATATATACATGTGTATACGCCTACATATGTACATATATATATATATATGTATATATATGGTGAATGTGTATACACGGTTTCATTTCCCATAGTAAGCAAGGCGGAACGGTTTTTTTTCCTAGGTCTGGCCCTCCCCGGCTTGCTTTCCTAAGTCTGGCCCACTGGTTGTGGTTGCCAACAGCGGCAACTGCGGTCTTTGCTGCATCAAGCTATTGGGGAACTAGAATTCGACGGCTCTGGTTTTGCTTCTGTTTTGCATGAAGCTATTGGGGAACTACAACTTGCGGAGTCTGATTTTGCTTGTGTTTAGCATGAAGCTGTTGGGGAACCACAAGTTGCAGGGTTCGGTTTTCTTTGTGTTTTGCATGAAGCTATTGGGGGGTTCGCATTTGCAGGGATCGGTGTTGCTTGTGTTTTGCATCAAGCTATTGGGGAACTACAATTCGCAGGGTCTTCTTCTGCTTGTGTTCTGCTTGAAGCTATTAGGGAACTAGAATTTGCGGTGTGTTCATCTGCTTGTCTTTTGCATGAAGCCACTAGGGAACTACAATTTGCGGTGTGTTCTTGTGCTTGTGTTTTGCATCAAGCTAATGGGGGAACTACAATTTGCGGGGTCGGCCTTGTTTGTGTTTTGCATCAAGCTATTGGGGAACTACAATTTGCAGAGTCTTTTATTGTTTGTGTTTTTCATCAAGCTAATGGGGAACTAGCATTCGCAGGGTCTGGTTTTGCTTGTGTATTGCATGAAGGTATTGGAGCACTACAATTTGCAGGGTCGTGTTTCGCGTGTGAATAGTGCGAAATGCCATTTTCAAATCTTCTGTCTTCTGGCGTT